AAAAAGACCTCAGATCACATGGCGCCCTTTGTGAGTCGTCAAACACGAAAGGTTCAGGGGGCCCTTGGATACGTCTAAACATCACTTGGTTGTGGAAACCCTTCAGCTGGTATTTCTGTGGCTTTGACCCATCCTAACTCAGCTTCGTAGGGTTTCCAGTTCGGGTCCCTCGCACGCGATGCTGGAACCTGGTCACATGTTTTTTGCTTCACGTGGCGGACTGCTCTTGAGCCGTTTGCAAACTCTTGCTTGCCTTTGGGTACTTGAGGAAAGCCACATCGAAGCCTTCCGGCCAAGTCCTCTGAATGGTGAAGCTGAGCAATTGGCTCAACATGCTCTTTCCCGCTAACCGGCAACAAACATCTGCAATCTCTACAAACAAAAACTGAAGTAAGGGATCCCCAAGCAAAACGGACCTTCATCATGGCGAGCTCATTGTACCCCCCCCCGAGTCGGTGAGCTCGCTAAAGAAGCAGCAGAAACGAATCGGTTGCGCTCCTGCAGGTCACAGGGGGGGTCGTCTGGGCCACAGGCGCGGGGCGCGTGCAAGTCCATGTAGTGATGCACCTGGAAGGTGCCGCGGGGATTGACATAGATGGCTTCAACCGTTCACCATAGGTTTCAAGGGTTGCTTTCAAGGGGTTTGATTGCTGGCCCGGAGAGTTCTGCACCAGAGTTGATTTAACAAAAAACGTACAAGGTGCGAGCGCAACATGAACCCAGCTTTGGGAGGGAGCGAAACCAAACGGACACCGAGCCTTCAAACAGGTCCCTCCCAATTTTGGAGACGCATCGGAACCGCTGAGAGCTGGATAACTTGTTGGGGAGCGAACATAATACCAACCAAACGAAACATGCCAGCACCAACGTGAAATCTAAAGCAACCATTTGGCCAACGTTCCTAGCGACACAACATTTTGCAACACATGGTGGCAACATGGGCGCCACACATCTGCTATGTGAAGTTCGATGAGTCCTGGATTCTTTGGTGGACATCAAAACTTGGAGATTCATGTCCAACTACTTTTGAGGTGGCTCAAAGTTCAATCAATCGTCCCTCTTCTTTGGGGAGGAAAAGCCCATCCTTTTTTAAAACCCAAAAGGGAAGCCAGAAAAAACCCGAAGAAAGGGACGGAGCCGGGGCCTCGTCTTTTCGCTTTTCGGCTGGGGCCGTGGCTCTGGGGCCCCACCATGGGCCTTGGCTGGGCGCCCCTTTGGTCGGTTAGAAAGAATTAATTTAACATGCCCAGATCCAACTCGGTTTTTTTGTTCTCCAACATCACCAGGAGGAAGTGTTTTGAAAGTAGGGGGGATCCGCATGCGCCTTGGTTTTGCTTTTGGCACACTTGGCTTCCTTCGAACCCAAGCGCAAAGGAGTTCCCCCCAACAAGAGCACTGCGCCATTTGGTCCGGGCAAAAGGCCTGACTGCAGTACCAAAGTCGGATCCTAACTCAAAGGCCCGAGACTCAACGTTTCGAGGCTTGATCCAACTGGAAAATCGGTGCCTTTAGTTTCTGAACCCGAACTACACCGGGGAGACGCAAAAATTCGCAGGTCGCACCTTGCCTGCGTCCAGGTGAAGGGTGCCCGGTCCTGAGAGTCCGAAGTGGGCCGAGACGAAGCTCAGGACGTGTTTCGGGAAATTGAGGTCCTCCCCTGGTCGATGTCGGGAACTCACGTGGGACACGTTGAATGAAGGGCCGAAAGATCAACCATGGCTCGAATCAAAATTGCGGCGACCGGAAAGGGGGGGGGGTCAGACATCAAAATGTTTCGCATGTCAAGATACCTGCCCCCATGATTCAGGGACCTTCATCATACCCCGAATCGGCTGGCTAGCTTTGGGCCTCGCACAGTTACTTCCCTGTCGACCAAACATGACGCTGAATCAGAAATCAGAGTTTTGACGCTGTTTGGGGGTGGACCAAGTTTCTTGGATGACCTGCAAACCTTTGAGAACGCAATCACAATCATGTAGATCCTAGCTATGCGGGTGGGTTCAGGTATCCAACAACCCCAAGAAAGCTTGCGAGACACCGAGCCGGAGACCTGCCAAGATATCTTGTGCACCCAATCAACCTCTCCGGATCGCTTTCGAGGTGCACCGTTTTTGATGTGTCAGGTGTCCAGGGGCAACGTGAAAGGAAGTCGGCAATATTGAAGTCTGCCCATTCATCCGACGGGCGGAAGAAACAGAAACGAAGAGGAAGAGGACAACAAAAAACAGAACAAGCTGAAAAAGGCCGCCGTGCTGTCCAAAAAACCAAATCTTACACAAACAAATAAGCACAGCAACCCAAACCCAACCCATACCAATCGATTTGCCCACACGTGAAGAGGGTCGGCACCCGAAGTCGTCCGAGCGGCGGCCCCGGGGCCAGTGGGAGCTGATCACCTGCAGAAAAATGGATGGCGTCTGGTGGTTTGATGTCGAATGCCGAAAAGGGAAACCCAAAGGAAATGGACCCGTTTTTACGGTTCGTTTCCTTTTGGTTTCCCTTTAAGACCCAAACATTCACCCAAATGCCTTTGAGCAAGCATCACCTCTGATCATTTGGACCAGTTTGGTGCTGACGTGTAGCATTTCACGAACTTTCGTGCTGAGATGGGGCACCGCCAGCAGCTCCAGCATCATTTCGGTCTGGCGATGAGATGCAGCATGTCTCCGGGCCATCGCCGGCAGCATCACTCAGCATTGCTGACATCATTTGGAGTTTGGCGTGTCGCCGGCGTCATTCGGCGGCCATTTTGGAGCTGATGGTCAGCATCATTTATCATTTCGACACGTCTCGCGCTCACACGCAGCATCACAGAATTGCTCAGCTCACATGTTTCTTGAAGAGCTGGCGCAGAACTGGCACAACTTTGGGCCATAGAGGATGTTGGGCGAAAACGACAGGTTGCGGCCTTTTGATTCCGCCGTTAAAGCAAAAACATCACGGAGGGCTTTGAATTGCCGGCAGAGCTTTCAAAGGACACCCTGGCACGGAGCAGAGCTGGCAATCAACCCTGTGCCTCCGATACCAAAGTTGGATTCCTGGATTCCCCATGACATGCACCAAATAAATCATTCAAGGCTTTGATTGGCGTCCATCCCATCCTCAAGGCCGCGGACTGACTGGGCGTCCAGTTTTGGGAAGCGTCTCCATGGCTCGGATCGCTCTCCCTCTGAAGGCGTTTTGGGGCGGGGGGGAAAAGAAGAAAAGTCCAGGGAAGGCTTCGTCTTGGCTTCGTTTTAACGCCTGGTTCGTGGGCTTTTTTCAGACAGAAGGACCACCCATTTCGCCATTTTACGGGAGAGGCCTCAATGACGTTCTCCGGCACCACCAGAGGCGAGCCGGACCGCCTCAAGGCCTCGAGGCGGGATTTTCGGGTTCGAGCCAAGGGGTACTTCTCTTACGAAAAGTGGTGGGGGCGACCAACTCCAGGAAAGACTCGCGCAAGGCTTCGACAGCGACACAGTGTTAGCGTGAATCGGGGGTCAAGGCGTGGAAGCATATATGGGGGGTCAAAGCTGTCTCGGAGTGGAAGGTACTGCAGAGGATTGCATATATGCGTTCACGCCGTGGTCGTGGCCCGCTCTCCAAGCATAAGCTGTACGCGCATGTATCGGCAAGCCAAAGACGGAAAGTGGGGTCTCCCCGGCGCTTTCGATGTGAACCCCAAGCTCAACCGAAAGGTCGCCTCCGTCAGTCCGAAGGGATTCCAAACCTTGCCAGGGATCAGCTTCTGGTTCATTGGCTTGGAGTTTCGAGGTAACGTGAAATGCCTCAGTGAGGTCGCCTGGATTCTCGGAACTTGGGGAGGAACTTTGCTGCGAAGCAATGGGAGCCCAATCCCTCTCACTCCGAATAGCCTGGAAATCCTGCTGCTTTCTCTCAGTGGCAATTTGAAATGTGTCCTGTGTGCATCTGGCTGGCACTTTGAAACTAATTTGGGGCCATCATGCTGACCCTGGAGTTTGAAACGCGCCCTGTGTGCGCGCCTCATGATGGCATTTGGCTGGCGCTTTGAACCAATTTGGGGCCATCATGCTGACCCCGGATCTCTCCACCTCAACACAATTCATATTTGTTGGGGACCGTAGCTTCCCGTTTTGGGGAAACACATCATCCAGCTGTCAAGTTCTCACATCCGAGGTCAACCTTGCCCATCTCCGTTCAAGCAGGTCAAACCAAAGTTGCAAGGCAACCTCTAAGGTTTGACCGTGCAGTTTCGAACCAGTCACAGGTGTAGCTCTGGGTCACGTTCTTTTGAGTCCTGGTTCGAAACTTTGGGGGTCAAAAGCGCCGGAGCCATGGCTTCACCTCCGAGCCCAGCGTCGAACTGGCTGGAACTTGGCAGGACCGTTTTGGTCCACGCCGGATGCGTCGCACGAGCACTGCTGCTCTACCGGTTGTACTTGTCGCCTTGGTCTGGCCCCAGGCGAAAAGCGAGAAACTTTGGACTGGTCAGTGGGGAAAGCAGACAGCGTCGCTAGAAAAGGGGAAATGGTTGAAATTCGTGCCATTCCATCGCCAAGTCACTGCTTCAAAAGATGCCCTGCCTGCTGAATGAGGCGCGGCATACGCGGCGTCACGAGTTTCATGTACCTGTCAGGTCAAGTGAGACACAATCAAAACCTGGCACAAACATGGTGAACCCAGAACCATGTAAAGAAAGGAACAGGCGGCCGCAATATGTCCAATTCCCCGTCAACTTGCACAAGCTGACATGGCACCAAGTGACAAACCTGTTGCTTGACAGTCGACTTGAGCCAAGATACACTGCAAAAGCCCTCTCGGCTTCTTTGGGCGCTGGGCTCTCTTTGGCCACGCACCTTGACAAAGGCCATCAAACACCTTTCTCAAGGAGATGGAACCCCTCCAAGAGGATAAATATGCTAGAAAACATATTCTCGGCCATTTGTTTTGCCAGTGCAACTCCATCTGAACACTTTTGACCTTAGGAGACACCGAAGGAAAAAAAGGAAACAAAAACCGCTCGGCAGCTGGGAGACTTCATGCAGAGCTCTCTGTGCAAGATGAATTGCCCCATTTGGGTCAGCCCCTCCACAGCGATGGCGTGCTTGACGCCTTCCAGCTTCTCCAAGATGTCGCCTTGGACAGGACACCTCCGAGACCATAGGGGAAGGGGCCCCCTCAACACCTAGTTTCTAACTTTCACAACCCCCCCCCCCACACAAAAAAGAAAAACAACATGTCCCCGAGAGATCCGACCTCCAAAACAGCAAAGAAGGAAACTCAGTCCTCCTGTACCCCTTTCAGCGGAGGAGGGACCGGTCATGACTGGTGTTCAATGTTTGAACGTTTGGTTTTGAGCGAGTCAGAGAACACACATTTTGTTTGGCGATACCCATCTGGAAGTACATGCTCCAGTTTCAGCACCCAGGCGGGAGAACCCAGTCAGCACCGAAGCCTCATGATACATCGCCTCTGGGGTGCGTGATACTGATGGTCGGAAAGACCTAGGGGGGTCGTTGATTCAAAGGAAACGACCCCAAAACCGTTTCCCAGCAACACACAACCAAATCAACATGCGCAGCCCGCTCGGACCGGGTCACCGAATTTGCTCTGTGCAAATCCCTCCGCCACTTCCTCCGCAATGTCATCCCGAGGCTTCACCTTGGCAACAACGCGCCTCCGAGAGCGGCCCGTCTCGAAGGGCCCGAGGGAACAGACCCGACTTTTGACCAAGACCTTGGACCTCGAAATGGCTCGTTCGGCGTTTTGGCTCTCGCATTCGCACCTCTCGGATTCTTGAGCCCCATGGTCAAGTTCTCAAATGCACGGCTGCCCCATGGGTCAGAGCTATGGAATCTCCCTGAGGTGTAGGTGTAGCCACTTTGCTTTTGGGCTCTGCATCTGAGAGCTCCAAGTATGACACTTGCAAAGTGCAATAACATCCCGAAGGGCAATCAAACACCAAAAACCTCGGGCCAACCCCAGGGTACACAAAATATCAATATCTTCAGATTCGGGTTCATAGTTCGACACTCAAATGTAAAGCATCATCTTGGAGAACGTGGGGGTTGCGATAAAACAAGACGATCCGCCACAAAATGCTTGATTTCCCTTCAAACCAAAAGCCAAAAGGATTCCCTTGAGCAAGAAGCAGCACATCAAGATGGGCGGTCGCAAGCCGCGGCGCGATCTCGATTGGGACCTCCACGAGGACGGTGAAGTATTCGTTCATGAAAGGGTCCCAGACTTGTTGCTCCTTGTATACCTTGGCCATCTTTGGGGTTTCGTTTCCCATGAAGCAAAGGCCTCCAGTTTGCTGGAGGCTGGGCATGCACAATTTTACTTCAATGTTTTGACAAACCTACGGATTTCCATGGTCAATACCACCTGTGTTTAGTAAAGGGTTGACATGACACCTTAAAAGAGCGTTGAAACATTTGGAGGGTGTAGCCCGAATGTGCAGAAATGACCATGGACATGCCGCACACGCCGAACGCGCCATGCTGCCATGCGTTTCTCCGGCTGCGCTGTCGCCCTTCCCCACCGCCGACCAGAGCCGACCACCGGCACTGGAGTCACTGGACTTCTCGCCGCGGGCAGTTTCTCGTGTTTCTCGCAGCTGGGCTTTGCGTTTTTGACAGGAGGAGCATTCAGCAGCAGGTCGCGCAAGTAGCTCGCCACCTCTTCCTCGCAAGTCTGGCTATGTCTTTTCGGGAGTACACTGGAACCCATACCACCCACTCATGACCCCTCCAATGCAGGGTCTCGGGCCCTCCAATGAAGAACCCGGATCAACTCCTCCGACCCTTGAAAACAGATATTGAGGGCCCGAAAACATTCGAATTGGAGCCTGGCATTTGCTTCCAATAAAGTCTGAAACTTTGAGCCTCTGAAGAACGGCATTAAAACTTGTTTAAGGGAACGAGAGTCGGACTGCCGGACCGGGGGTTTTCGGGGACACGGGGCATTGGGTGTAGGGTTCGTGGCGAAATAGCCATGCGTGTCCGTGGCCCCCTTACCCCACCCAAGCGCCTCCTTGACAATCCCAAATAAACCACAAGGGGCCAAAATCCTTCAGACAACTTTACAACCAAAGCTTGACCCACATCTGGGAAGACCCTCGATACAATGTTTGTGCCATTCACTGGCCGAGTGTCCTTGACCGACGCGGCGAAATGTAGCGAGTCGCCCAAGGGCCAGTCACGCACCTTCTCGAAATCGGTGCGCACCGCTAGGCCGGCATCAGCGATCCACTCGCGGATGGTGCCCATATTGTCGTCGTACACTTGCTTGTACCCATACCTAGTGCCAAATGTTGCAAATGGCTGACAAACTCTTGCCTAACCACTGCACCAGCTTCCGCAGTTTGAGCTATTGTTTTCCAATGCGGCCATTGTATGGTTGAGTCCACGATTTCGCCCGTGTGCCAAGCCGTGGTGATCTCTCTGGTACGAAGTGGTTGACTCGGTGAGACCCCGAAACCCCTTCAGCTGGTGTAAGCGAAACCAACATGACATTTAAAAGCTTTTAAGTGGTCTCCCCAGTGCGACGGGCATCTTTATATTGCGCCGGAATCCCCAAACCAGGGGGGGCCCTTTCTGGGACTCGGGACCCATCCCCGGGACATATCCCAAGTCATGGGAGCCACAAGAGCCATCGGGATCGAAGTTTTCAACCCGCCTCTGCGAGTAGCCGCCCATGAAGAACACGGCGCGGTCGCATTTCTGGCGGATCTCCTCAAAGAGCTCCTCCCAGAGCGGCTTGTAGATCTTATGGTCCATGGGCTTCGTGACGTGCTCCTAAGCCGGGTCAGGGCTGGCATGGTCATCAAGGGCACGCTAACCCCAAGCAACCCAAGCATGAAATGCTCATGTGAGGTCGACAAACAAGCTTCTCTCGGAGTTCCACAGCAAAGTGCAGGTGGCGAGCCAAAACATGGGCCTTACTATGAAAACAACAGCACCATCCTCCTCAGGAGAAATCTGGTTGGAACTCTGGCATCCTCACAAATGATAGTTCGACAATTTGAAAGGGGAAGCGCTTGCTTGAGGTTTTCCATTGCAAATGCAATCCTTTTAGTCAGCCAGGGATTGCCATCCTAAACCGGCATGCCGTCCGCATATTTTGTTTCAATTAAAGCCTGCTTGAAGATGGACGTGTCTTTCTTGAGTTGCTACTCTTGCGGTCTTTGACGCTGAACCTTCCCCCCCCCCCCCGCCCTTAGTGGCCATGGGAGAAAAGAAAAAACCGGCGTCGGGTCCGAGGCGCGTTCCCAAAGTAGCTGACGCCCAGCACTTGAAAGCCATCGCTGCGCTTCAGCATCTGCAGGATTTCGCGCACACCTCCACCTCCTGCGAAGTTCTTCTGTCGCTTGCCAGATCCCGGCCATGGTCACACGAGAGCCTCCCAACAGATGAAAGGTATCCCTTCTCAGTATGAGGTCACCTCTGACTTTCCCACCCAGTACTCTATTTGGAAGTTGGGTGAGCCAAAGCACGCGCTTGGGTCGGGACCCTCCCATCTCAAGGCCGCGAGTGGCAGGCTTCCCATGGAACTTCTCTCCAGATATGTCCCTAGCTGGAAACCGGGTGATACCTAGACTTGACTGTGAGGGGAAATGGATGCAGGGAGGGGTTGGCACTATTTGTTCACTTGTCACTACCACTAAACAACACCCTAACCCTAATCACACACGGCCATGATTCTTGTTCGGCGGCGGGCACTAAAATTCCAATGAGGCGATTGTGGCAACAGTTCGCTTTGCGTTGGCAAAAAGGCCCTTTAATGGTCTGAGGACAACTGAAGGATTAGGTGCTCCTTCAATTCGAGCACGATTCCCCAACAAACCATCATGGAATCCAAACAAACCACCATGGAACCCCGACCAATCATCATATCAATCATTTAAGGACGCCCCTTTTGGCAGGTCCCAAACCTACATTTGGCCATGGGTCATAACTTATGCGTCCATTCTTGGGCGGATGAACACCCATGTACCACCTAGTTTTGATGTTTCGCAGGGGTTTCCAGCCATTCAACCCCCCCCCCGAACCCAATCCAAGCCGGTCCTGCGTACTGCAAGTGCAGGCCGGGAAGCTGCCAGCTCAACTCTGCTTTGAGCTGCGCCTTCTTTCCTGGCGAGAAGAAGCATGCGTGTCTTTCTTTTTCGGGTATTTTAAGCGTGTCTCGTTTGTATTCTTCTTGTTTTTCTCTTCTTCTTTTTTCTCCTTTGTTTTTTCCCCCTTTGTTTTCCCCCTTTTTTTCCAGGTCTTTTTTTAACGCAACTCATCTGAGATCGGTGAACCAACAACCAACTCAACATCGGAAGATACCCAGCAACACATTGGAAGATACCGAGCAACTATTGTGTAACATGACAACCAAAGGCACATTGGGGGTTTGCTGGCCGCCAACCACGCATTGCTTTTTGGGTGGTTGCTTTTTGGGAAACACGTCACTTCACCAATGTCCAATAGCAGTGGATAATCGCAAGTTACATCAACCAACCACACAACAAAATAGTCTTGTAAAATAGGGCTACTATGGGTGACACTTGGAGGGCGGGAGTAGGGCCCAATCCATCCGCGTGTTTTGCAGTATGTTCGCCCTTGTTTTGCCCTTTCCAACATGGGTGGCACACATTTCCCTCAAATGCTAAGGAGGGTGTACCAACAACAGGGCAATCAAGGACACCCAAAGAATCAAGGACACCCAAAAGGATCGAGAAACCCATGCCGAAAACGAGCCAAAGGGAATAGACTTGGGGGGATCGATTCTGTGAACGCAAAGCAACCACCTGCTCCAAGCCCACATTCTTCACATCCCCAGTGCATGTCCCAAGAATGAGGGCACCTGTGGTTTGGTGAATTCAAATCAGCCAAACTCCCACTAATCCACCAATGAAGCAAGGTTCTTGACACCCCCGAAGTGATTGCAATGGAATCGAACACTTGGCCTTGAGGTGCAGCCTTTCAAAGGGGATGCGGCAAATTGTGACGCCGGATTCTGCGTTGCTGTTGTTGTTGGGACAGATCGCTGCTCGAGTTCCCAGGTTCGACTTTGTCCCAGCCAACTCCGCGCCCCTGCGCAACTCGGTTTAAATATCTATGGCTTCCAATACCTCCCCCAAACCACGCAAGAATCAAGGGCAGAATTGGGCTGGGGTACCTTACAGCCAAATTAAGTCATGATCACTCAAAGGAGAGGGAAACACAGTTTTGTCAACAACGGGGGAACCCGGGACCTTAAAAGGAACGAACCCCTCCGTGACTGCGACCTCTCCCTTAACCTTGTGGGGCAGCGCGAGCCACGCGCTGTTTTCAGCACTTGAGCCAAAGCAGTGATTGAATCATGCTTTGGCAATGACTTGAATGTACAACATGCAACTGACTACATGGGGACCTACCTCATGTACCTCTGGGCCATAAATGTCATCGTGATAATTGACTCCCCCCTCATTGACGGCACTGAGGGAGTGTCTTGGGCGCATTACCACGCCAACTTGAAGTCAAGTTTACATCACAACGACTGACACAAGTTATTCAAGCATCACCCAGGCACTTTGCACACTTTTGGAAATTTGCGGACATGCTGCAGCGCACTAGGCAGCTGCTTTAGCGGCTCTACTTTCACGAACGTCTTCAAGCTTCTCTGGAAGGTCAACACGAATGCCGAGCAACCGGATGGCATGGTCCCACTTGTTGGGTGGAAGTGCTTTCGTGAAGATGTCCGCTGACTGCATGTCGGTTTGGACGTATTCTATCGAGATGTGTTCGCTTTCAAGCTGCTCTGCGATGCACGCGAGGTTCACCTTGTGTGTTCGCTGGACACAGCGTAGCTTGGATGAGAAACCTTTCCTTGCTACGAGGATAGTCGCCTGATTGTCCTCGTGGATCTTGAGATGGAATGGTCGATCCAAGATCAGCTCCCACAAGCTAAGCGCAGGGAGCGCCTCCTGATAAAGGGAGTATGCGAGAGATACAATCTCCGCCTCGGTCGTTGACCGGGAGACCGATGTCTGCCTTTTGGATACCCACGCAAGCGGAAAATGCGTGTGCGGACCACTCAAAATCAAGAATCCTCCGGACGTGGATTTTGCATCTCGCTCTCCGGCGAAATCGGCGTCTACATAAAGAGACAGATGCAAATCCTCAGTCGAATCTTGAACTGTGCCTACTAGCGTGCTGTTGACCGTGCTGTTTATGTAGCAAACAAGCCTATGTAGCTGCTTATCGCAGTTTCTAGACCATTTTTGAACAAATGAGGCAAGGTCGCCAATGGGCTTGACCAGGTCTGGGCGTGCCAAACGGCCGAGCCATAAGGCTTTCATCAACACGCGGCAAGCGGCGAAGCCGAGCTCACCCTCCAAGGCGTCATCTGCAGGATCAAGGGATCCAGCGGGACAGAATGGAGTGGTGGCATCGCGCAGCTTTTCACTTTTCAGCTGTGCAACCTCAAGATATAATGCACCGTTTGACGGGCATAATCCCGCATGTCGAACGCCATGCCCCCTTTCAATCTGCCCATTGCGGCATTAAGATCGGGTTCAGTTGGGTCCTTTGGAGCATCTATCAAAAGGTGATTCCTGCCTAGCACCCGGTATATGTCTTCTGGGGGTTCTATATCAACCAGTCTTGTTAACTTTTCCCAGAAGTCTTTATGAAGGTGGCTGGGGCCGGCCAACGTCAAGTCGTCGACGTATGTCGAGAGAAGTAACCCGGACTCCTTGAACCAGAAGTTTCCAGGAAACTCTGCGACCTCACGCCCTCCAAGTTCACTAATGAACCCTTTGAGGTGTGCCTCCCAGAGTCCGCCAGCGTCAGGATGCCCATAAAGAGCTTTAACGAGCAAAACCACAGGTTTCACGAAACGCTCGCGCCACCACCTTGGCCGGAGCTCAGGCGGGAGTGTGATCCAAGTTTGGTACTTGGACTTCAGCAGTGCTTGCACATAAGCCTTTATAGCGTCCGCTGTTGTGGTGGAATTCCCTGGCAGGGATCCATAAGCGAGACAGTTATTAAGACCTTGTACGCTCGTGGGATTTGCTCCCAACTCTTGGTAGACAGCTGCTGCGCCATGTTCATCTTTCGCACAGTCTCCGCGATACACAATCCTACCTTTCATCTTCTGAAGGTGTTTCGCGAGTTCGGCGAACTTGACGGATGCTAGCGACATCAACTGCCCGAAATGGACTTTTATACTGGATCGTCGCGCCTCAGCAGCGACTTGATCATACTCTCGGACTGAATTTAGATCCCAAGCACCGGCTTTCTCCAGGCCTGTGGCTTCAAGTCGAACGGCTTCAAGAGCTTCCGGGGAAGCCAACATTTCGGCACGTGACAAGAGTCTGGTCACCATTGCGGTGATCTCAGGATCCTTCTTCTCTGTGACTTGTCCTAGGGAATGTGCGATGAGATTTTCAACATCAAGAACTTGCTCAAGAATGTTGTGACACTTTTCATCTGACTCAACAGCAACACCTATATCTTCCAAACCGGAGAGAGGGGATATGTGCTTCAACTGCTGTTCACGTTCCCGGTGATCGAGAGGCAATGGCACTTGGACAGGCATCGCAGGCACAACGGGTTGAACTGTCGGATACAGCGCACGGGCAACTGTGAGACACATGCCTTCGGGGTAGAAAGCGGTCTTTGCGGTCTTGTTACCTGCTGCAAGCGAATGCTTATACCCTTTTTCGTGCGGACACTTGAATGCACCTAGTGCGGATGCGAGTGTGCTATTGCTGGTCATGACTTTCCATGGCTTCTTGATGGGATAGCCATTGCTGTCCTTCAGGCCTAGGGCGCAACCATGGAAGGTCGCTGGGGTGAAGACGTGTGCGTATTCTCTAAAGAATGCAGAAACATCATCCCTAGCCCAGCTGTCGCAATCCCTTGGCCACTCAAACGAAACACTACCCCCCTGATGAAGGACAGTCTCTGCGTGACGTCTGAATCTGGAGAACAACTCTCTCGACTCTTTAACCTTTTGCTTCAGTTTCTTTTTGAACTGGCTTCCTAACTTGGCCTTATTAAGGCGTTGCCATGCTGAACCTGATGTGCAGGGAATTGCTGCCCAGAGATTGGGTTTATCACAACCTTCAATCTGCGACTGCAACTGGATTTCTCCTTCATCTGTACTGAGGTCGATAAACTCTTTAGCCAGCCTAACATGAGGTATGCCAAGACCTTCAAACACGCGACCCATGTTGGACTCTGGTGAACATGCGTATTCGAACATCACAGGCAACTTGTCAATACGTGCCTGTTTCTTGCGGGCACGATGATTTCCAACCTCAAACTGCTTGCGCTGTGGAGCTTCAACCTCTGCGCTGCATGGCATGCCAAAAATTGGCAATGTGTTCGGACGACCGTTCTTTGATGCATCGGTGAGAGGTGTCGGCGGTACGGAGTCTAACATCACGGCTGCACCTGTGGTGATAACACAATCGGACTGAATGGGTTTTAACTTGAACACTGTGAACCCGGTCCATGCATCTCCAAGTGAGCGATTGGGTCGGCTACCAAACCAACCATCATGGATGTTGTCTGCTTTGCCCCCCTGAAACACGGCACGAGTGGTGCGAGCTGCAGTAAATCTTTCTGGGGAAACGGGGCAATCCTCGACCTCTTTTGGGGTAAAGAGATTTTGCCTTGGCATGATATGGTATCGGACCAAACAGTTGGCATTTTCTTTGAACACCCAAAAATCTTCACCTTGCGATGTAGCGGCTGTCGCTGGCGCGGTATCGAAAAATGAGCCGCCGGGTCTTGAGGGAGCGGGCTCCCCAGCTTCGGCTGCATCAAATTCATGCGCAACATCTTCTGCACTAACTGCGGGCTTAGGATCCTCTCCATGCTCGGATGCGTGGATTGCTCTAGCTAACTCCTCATCCCCTTCAGTATGCACAATGGGAATGGGTTCCTTAGATTCAGTTTTGGCAGCGCTTTTTGCAGCTGCTTCAGCTCGATCTGCAGAGACAAGTTCGGAGAACCTCTTCTTGCATTCGACACTGTGAATCTTGGAATGACCGGTGCATGCACGGCAACCTGGCGTTTCCTTGAACTTGATGATCCTTTCAACAGTTATGTACACGGATTTTGATTTGACAGCGGATGGAGTCGGTGGGGCGCCA